CATCGCGTTTTTTTTTGTTATATAGCATTTGTTTGGATCAAAGTTAGAGCAGAAACCCGGTCACCTTACCCATGCAAAGTCCCCACCCTCCCATCCCAATAAAACTACCTAGCCAGTTCTCCTGTCACTCTTTTCTTCTGTCACAAGTGAGGACATTACCCAGGCCTTCCAGGCATGGAGGAGCATGAGCTCTTTCTCTGTGACAGTGCTTGAGCATAGTAGCCAATTACTAAGCCCTGTCACATGACCGGAGGAGTGATGTCACTGCTCCCACTGGTTGCAAACACTGTAGATTTGAGTGCAGTAAGAGCAGGCAAGGTGCGTATATGGGGAAAGGAAGGAGGGGGTTCAGCTACTATGCCCTGCAAGGACAAGTACAAATGTTTCTTTAATTATGGCATGTTTGATCAACTTTACACACATACTTGAAATTATTTTTAATACACTAGAAAGCCTCTGATGGGAAAGGCCATCCTTTCATCCCTGCCTGCAAATGATTTCTAAAAGCAGTAAAGTAACTATTCAGGACATGTACAGCTGGAAGCTACCCAGATTCCATTCAACAGGTGAGGCCAGCTAATTCTAGTCGGCAAACACTGCAGCTCTGCAAGATTTAGAAAGGCTACTTAATTTCAAACTAATGCCTGTCCTAACAATGAACTTTTATTTGATCCATGTAGATCTGCTAAAGGAGAATGGCCAAACCTTTTTTGGCCATACTTCTCTTGTGGGTCACAGAAATTGCACTTAGTTCTGCACTACTGTGACCCAGTTTCAGTTGACAGTGGGCTAAAGCTGGATGTTAGAGCCAATCCAGGCTCTGCAGAGATCCTGACAACAATGTTGGAATCTACCCAGATGCCTGACTTGCAGCTGGCAGAGCCATTCAGCGAGCTGCTGAGAACCAGAGCCAGTCATTTCCGCCCCCTGCACATCCCAATGCTCCAGTGAGCGTTAGGAGGGGCAGAGCAGAGACCAGCCCCAAGAACTGAATGATCAGCAGTGTTTGATCGCTCGGTTCTCAGTATAGAGCTGGCAGAGGATAACTGCAGCATCAGAGCAAAGCTGCAGCCATCTAGGTGAAAACGTACTGTATATTTTTTTTTATTCCTCTATATCTCTTTTTAAATATATAAATTTAAAAATGTTTTGTTAGATATGATCAAATACCTGTTTATTCAACCAGAAATCTAGTGTTGTCCTATGTTGTCTGTGATATCTCAAGCAGCCTTATCTTCCTGCCTAGGCTACTGCTGTGGACTACAGAACACCACCTCATATGTCATGGATAAAAAACAGGATGAAACATCAGGGGTTATTTACTAAAACCGGAGAGTGCAAAATCTGGTACAACTCTGCATGGAAACCAATCAGCTTCCAAGATTCATTGCCAAACTTGATTGAACAAGCTGTAGTTAGAACCTGACTGGCTACCATGCACAGCTGCACCAGATTACAAGTGCACCAGTTTTAGTAAATCTACCCCATTGTGATGTCCTAGCACTTCCTGTTCTAGAAAATGCTGCTCCTCCAACTGGAGAATGTGTCAAGACTAGAACCTCATTAACTTTTTTTGCTGTGTCTCTGCTGAAGTGACAATGTTGTCACCAGGACAAGTCTGGGGAAATTTCCCTTAAAAGTGAGCAAGAAAAACCTGGCAGAGGGTTTTCTAAGGCCTCATGCACACTGGACATGTTTTCTGCCTCTAAATGCCTATCAATGCACACATAGGCATTTAAAGGAGTTTAGAGGCAGAAAAAAAAAACCCTACTGCTAGTGTGTCCAGCAGCAACAGCGTTTTGGAGAGAAAAAAAAAATGCTTGACATGTGTAAATGCCTCTAAATGCAAATTAACCCTAGGCGTGTTTAGCTACTGAATGTTCATTCATTTCAATAGACAGAATAAGTTATTATAGCCAATTAAATGAATTAGCGTACAAATGCTTGATGCACCTAAACGCATTACACAAGTTTACAAGCATTTTTTTTTCTGTCAAAAGACCGCTACAAGGAGGAAAGGCGTTGAGGAGAGATAGCAAATATGTCCAGTGTGCATAAGGCCTAACAGGAATACCAGCTTCCCTAATCTACTACTTTAAAAACAAAAAGACAAATAACCAATATGTATAGCTGATATCTGTAATGGATTATTAAAATGTTATTAACAAGGGTCCACTCACACCAGCAGGAGTAAATTATGCATGAATGGGCCCTCAACAGCCCTTAATATTGCATAGCAAAATCCAATGTTATATAGATACCAGCTATACATTTTTTGTTGCTGTTTTAATAAAACACTGGGAAAGGCGTGAAGGGGCAACTCACAACGTTTTTTTTACAGTGCATTGTCCTGTTTACCTTTTTTCAAACTTTCTTGAAATGTCATTTGATTCGACTTTATGCATCGCACCGCCCTGTGATGCAAGTAGTGCATCGCAACATATGCGCTGCATAAAAATGCATCCTGCCCTACTTATTTTTAGTACACACAGACTCAATGCACTAAAACAGGACATAAGGCAAATTACCTTGTCTATACATTGGGCAGCACTACCCAACATATAGAATGTAAATATGTCCCTGTCACAAATCTGCAAACTTGTTAAATCTAAAAATAGTATGTTCATACCCCAAATGTATGTCATTTCAGTGCATGCAACACAGGAAAATTGATGTCACACACAGAATGGACCCTTAATATTTTATATAAAAGGTTATCATTGTCTTCAGCAATGCATCCGTCATCACGCTCACAGCAGGCAGCTGGCAGCATTGCACGTCGCACTCTACCAGTCTGCCAATGTGTCATGAGAACCCACCACATCACCCCGCCCCAAGTCAAAGAAAACACTTCATGTTATGTCACAATGAATTTTGTATTCAACATAGTTTAAAACATAAAAGACAAGCTTGTGCCAGCATGTCCAAGAAAATCAAAATTACACATATTCATGGTCTTGTGGTACATCACATTTTCATTTCAAGATCTCGGACTGCTTTGCAATGTTAAAACCACTGCTTGCAATGTGACAAAAGAAAGAAAACTAAAAATGTTGTAAAATAAGATCCGCACCCTTTCTGTGTCAGTATGTGCGTTCAGTATGGCACAGAAATGGTTAACCAATATTCCCCATAACCCCCCCCTCCCGCCCCCTTATCCCACCCCCTCAAAAAATGTGCAAGACATGGAAACTACATTTACAGGCTCAGAAACGGGTTCCAGGGACAATAGATCCTTTTGTCCACACTTGTTCAGTGTGATTACCGAGAGGAAACTGTTAAGTAGTTTGCAGAATAGGAGATAATGGGATTTTGTGGAGATTTTCACAGGTTGGCACCGGCTGGAACAGCTGAATTTTGAAGGCACTGTCTAAGGACGTTGGGTGCTGGTGACCCCGGTAAGCAGAAGTCATTTCACTGTATTTTAAATACAAGCTGGGCATCAAAAAAATTAGTTATGGCCAGCTCACAGGACAAAAGGAGAAAGAACATATGTAACATTTTTCACAGCTGATAAAAAAATACTAACAGTCTTCCCAAATTCCCATTTTATACAGCAGGTAAACAAAATAGATTTCCCCTCTCACACACACTCACATCAGCAGCGAGAGTGCCAACGTTGGCAACCCCCCACTGCGTTGGCATCGTTTGTTTCAGTTGAAGATGTGCAATACTTATGAATGGATACTTTGTAACAATAATCCGACTTTGCATAGAAAAGGAGAGTCATCGGCTATACAGTCTAGGGTGACTCCGATCTGATGGGGGTCACTCTCCTCTCACCCTCCTGGTGCCACCTCCGTTAGGGCATGAAGTAACCCCACAACACCCCTTCAGAAAACTTTTCCTTGTTGCTCTTCAGACCCTGATGACCACAAGTTTTTTTGTGAACACATGACATTTCAGCCAGGGGCGGACATACCATTTGTGCAGACTGTGCAACTGCCCTTGGGGGGCTATTTATACAGATGTAAGACCAAACTGGCATTGGGACCCCTCCTGTTTTTAGTCAAACACAGTTCACTTCTATCTTTCAATCTATGCACAGTGAATAAGTGTTTCTAGTTAACCAGAAGCTGAACAGGGGGCCAAAAACTAGTGGTCCAGGGTGACTGCTGCCATTAGTTGAACAGGAGACCCAAAAACTGGTGGCTCAGGGTGACCAACAGTAGTTGAATGGGTAACCGCTGATAGTAGTTGAAGAGGGGCCCAAAACTAGTGGCTCAGGGAGACCACAATCTGTAGTGGAACAAAGGGTGCAAAAACTGGAGGTCCCGGGTGACTACCACCTGGGCCCCAAAACTGTTGGTCCAAGGTAACCGCTGGCATTAGTTGAACAGAGTTCCACAAAAAAATGTTGGCCCAAGGTGACCACGGCCATTACTTGAACAGAGTCCCAAAAACTGGTGGCCCAGGTTGATCACTGCTAGTAGTTGAAAGGGGGGTCTGCCAAAGATGGTGGCCCAATGTGACTGTTGTCAGTAGCTGAATAGCAGACCCAAAAACTGGTGGCCCGATGTGACTGTTGCCAGTAGCTGAACAGGAGACCCAAAAACTGGTGGCCTAAGGTGACTGGTGCCAGTAATTGAACAGGGGTTCCCAAAAAACTAGTGGCCCCGGTTGATCACTGCTAGTGGCTGAACAGGGGGCCCCAAACTCACGGCCCAATGTGACCGTTACCAGTAGCTGAACGGGAGTTCCAAAGAAACTGGTGGTCCAGGTTGATGAGTGGCCCAAGGTGACTGTGGCCAGCAATTGAACAGGACCAGGTTGACCGCCACCAGTAGTTGAATGGGTTGCTTAGGGTGACCTCCGCCAATCCCAGCACAACACACCCTGTTGTTTCCGGAGTCAGTGGATGCAAAGTTGGTTGCAATCATGTTACAAGTAAAATACGAGATAGTGCATTGTAAAGAGGAGCAATAAAGGGGGGGTCGAACCTCAGAGGATGACACAGGAGGAGCAGCACTGGTCGTCTCCATTGGGTTGGGAAGCATAGTTCATCTGGCGGACGATTTCTGCGAAGAGCTCGTCCACAGACGCTTTGTTTTTTGGGCAGAAGTTTCCATAAAGGGACAGTTCCAGTCGTCAGCCAGGGCTTTCCCTTCCCCATAGGACACTTCCCTTTCCCCCTCCAAGTCCACCTTGTTGCCCACCAGGATCATGGGCACCTTCTCGTAGCGCTTGACCCGGATGATCTGGTCCCTCATGGGTTTGATGTCCTGGAAGCTCTGCTGGTTGACGAGGCTGTAGACCAGGATGAAGCCCTGCCCGTTCTTGATGTACAGATCCCGCATAGAGGCGAACTGCTCGGTGCCAGCCGTGTCCAGGATCTCCAGCACCGACGGGGACGAGTCCACTTCGATCTCCTTCCGGTAGAAGTCCTCGATGGTCGGGTCGTACTTCTCGATGAACGAGCCGGTCACAAACTGGACGGTGAGCGCCGATTTGCCCACCCCGCCGGAGCCCAGCACTACTACTTTGTATTCTCTCATGGTGGCCGGGGGGAAGGAAGGAAGGTAGGCGGGCGGGGGTCAGCGGCTTTCACTTCATCGGCGGCTGCTCGCACGATGTGCCGGACCAGCCCTGCCGCTCTCCGGCGCTGCCCGTCTCTCCATTCCTTTCTAAGGCAGCGGCTCTAGTTATCTTCAATTACACTCAATGCATTCTGCAACAGCTCGCCTGCTATTGGCTGCCCGGCCTGTCAGCCGTGATTGGCCCACCGGAGCCGGCCTGTGATTGGCTGTGACGTTTAGCCGCAGAGAAAGTCTTTTCGTTAGTCAGATGTGAGTCATTGGCCATTGGCTGGTCATGTGGAGCCCAGGCTTGGTGTGTGTGAGTGTGCTGCATTCTTCCTGTAATCATTGTGTGCACACATAGGGCGCACTGTACACCCATGCACCTCACCTTCCCTCACAAAGTGTGGCGGTGTGCACTGTGCCAGCTTTACACTGCACCTCAATGTGGACAAATGCTGCCATTTTTACATACACGTTCAAACCAGCATTCTATCATAGGTAATTATCAAATCGGATATATTTTCTGAAAGCAGAGCCTTGGAGAATAAAATGGTGGTTGCTGCAGCTTTATATGTCACTCAATATTCACGCAATTATCAAATGCAAATTTTCAGGTGACAATACACTTTCATTCATTTTAATGCACAAAACACAATATAATACTCATTTTTGTTAAAGTGGGGTTCCACCCAAAAGTGGAAGCTGCGCTTGTTGCCTCCTCCCCCCTCCACTGCCATATTTGGCAGCTTTTGGGGGGGAGCGGGTACCTGGTTTTGACAGGTACTCGCACCCACTTCTGGCTCACTTCGCCGCGGCAAAGTGAGCTGGAAGTTCAGCCCCCTCCTCCTCCCGCAGTCTCCTGGAACACTTCACAGGTCCTGAAGACTGCCGAACCAATCAGAATGCACAGCGCAACTTGTGCATGTGCAGGGGGCACCTGGCTGTGAAGCCATAAGTTCTCACAGCCTGGTGCCCACAGTTGTGATGCCGGTGCTGAGGAGAGAAGAGAAAGAGACGGGAAGGCGCAGGTGAGCACATCGCTGGACCCTGGGACAGGTAAGTGCTTGTTTATTAAAAGTTAGCAGTTGCAATTTTTGTAGCTGCTGACTTTTAATAAACACAAAACTGACTGGAACTCTGCTTTAATATATAAAAGATGATGTGTCAAGTAAGTAGATACCAAACATGTCAAGATTTAAAATTGCACATGACCCTGAAATGGTGACAAATTAGGGTACCTAAAATTACCCATTAAGTCACCGGTCACACTGCTGCGATTTAAAATCGTGCAATTTGTGTGCAATTTCAGGGCGATTTAAGGAGCCATTTTTTGAACACTTTATTGCTCTACTTGTGAAGATTTTCAAGGATTTATTGCAATTTTAAGTACGATTTCCATTATATTCTATGTATGTGAAATCGCAACAAAACTGCAAATGCATGAGTGAAGGATGGGAGTAATTTAGATTTTTTTATTTATTGATTTATTTTTCATTCAACTTTATTTTCCCTTAACTTTAAGGGAAAAACAACACCCCTTGTGAAAGCATAAGCAGTGACAGGTACTCTTTATGGAGAGATCAGGGGTCTGTTAGACCCCTGATCCCTTCAGCGCTCTCCAAGGCAGCTGATCAAACAGAGATCGGTTTTATTGGCTACTTCCCTGGTTGTACCTCTTTGGGCAGTCATCCTGACTGTTTACAGCAGCATACCTCCCAACTTTGTTAGCAAATGTATGTAGGCATAAGACACACTTCCTGCCACGCCCCCTTAAAGGAGAATTATACAAAAAAATTAGTTAAACCCACAAGTGTTTTTTTTTTCACCACTTCTATACCTTTTTACTGGCTTTTGAAGTTTACAAATGCAACAATTTGGCAATTGGATGAAACTTTTAGCTAGGAAACTAGGAAACACTTTTTAAAAGATAAATAGTGAATTTTATATACAACTATATAGATCAGACCAAAATAAGGGACAAATGATGAGGAAGGATGGACTGAGGAACTTTGTTCCAAATTAGGGATGGTCCCTCCAAATCAGCGACAGTTGGGAGGTATGCAGCATTCCTGGGATCCCCAGTAAAACGGGAGAGCCCAAGAATGACAGTAGGAGGGGAGCCCCTGTCTGTGCTCTGTAAAAGTCATCAGGCTGCTGTAGAACAGTTTAATCACTTTTACGTGAAAACTGATCGCCAGCTCCAATAAACAATACCAAGATCATGGCTACAGCTGCAGTCATGATCCTTATACAACCACTTGCTCCCAAGGCCATATACAGTATCTATCTATCTGTCTATCTATCTAAATATCTATCTATCTCGTATGTATACACTCACCGGCCACTTTATTAGTTACACACACCTTGCTAGTACCAGGTTGGACCACCTTTTGCCTTCAGAACTGCCTTAATTCTTCGTGGCATAGATTCAACAAGGTGTTGGAAACATTCCTCAGAGGTTTTGGTCCATGTTGACATGAGTTACTGTTGCCTTTAAATCATCTCAAAGCAGTCTGCCCATTCTCCTCTGACATCAACAACACATTTTTGTCCACAGAACTGCCGCTCACTGGATATTTTCTCTTTTTCAGACCAATCTCTGTAAGCCCTAGAGATGGTTGTGAATGAAAATCCCCACGATGGACCTGTCTAGGTTTGGAAGTTGCCAGGAGAACGGTACTTGCCTGACTGCATTGTGCCAAGTGTAAAGTTTGGTGGAGGGGGGATTATGGTGTGGGGTTGTTTTTCAGATGTTTGGCTTGGCCCCTTAGTTCCAGTGAAGGGAACTCTCAAGGCATCAGCATACCATGACATTTTGGACAATTTAATGCTCCTAAGTTTGGGAGGGCCCCTTCCTGTTCCAATATGAATGCGCACTAGTGCAAAAAGCAAGGTCCATAAAGACATGGATGAGTGAGTTTGGGGTGGAGGAACTTGAGTGGCCTGCACAGAGTCCTGACCTCAACCCAATAGAACACCTTTGGCATGAATTAGAGCGTGCACTGCGAGCCAGGCCTTCTTTTCCGAAATCAGTGCCTGACCTCATAAACGCGCTTCTGGAAGAATGGTCAAACATTCCCATAGATACACTCCTAAACCTTGTGGACAGCCTTCCCAGAAGAGTTGAAGCTGTTATAGCTGCAAAGGATGGGCCAACCCAATATTGAACCCTACAGACTAAGACTGGGATGCCAGTTCATGTGCGTGTAAACGTAGGTGTCCCAATACTTTTGCCAATTTAGTGTGCATATATATATATATATGTGTGTGTATATATATGTATATATATATATACAGCCTAAGGGGGTGAAAAGCGGACAGTAATGGGTGCCCACACATGTGAAGGTGTTTTCATTCAAATACATTGGTATGCATGTTGATGCAGTTTAATACATATTACAAGGTGTAATGAAGTTTGTTTGATGCTTTTCCACAGATTTAAATTAAAAACGCATCTTGGCAAAATGCATAAGTGTGGTACTAGCCTAAGACGGGCTCCCCACTAGCACAGTGCAGTACCATGCACGCTTTACATCACCTTAAAGTATATGTATAGCCACCATTTTTTGGTTTGTCTAGGCTTTGACTTTGGGTGAACTAGGTAAGGATTAAAACCCCTACCAGTTTTTTTTCAATGGGGAAATTTCCCTTTACTTCCTGCCCCACATAATCAACAGGAAGTTAAAGGAAATCTCCCAAAGTGAGGGGAATGCCCCTTTTACAGGATAAGTATGAACTTTAAAAAAACAAACATCTATACTCACCCATCCATACTCAGCTCGACGCTGCCATCTCTGTGTGTTGCTGCACTGTTCCATGCCGGTTCTACCAGTGAGAACTGAATGATCACATGACCATTTCTTAGTTCTCAGTCTGCTGAAAAGTGGAGAGTAGTGACTACCATTCACCTCTCTGTTCTATTCCTCCAGTGCTCACTAGAGTGCCAGGCTGGGAAGGGGGTAGGTGCAGCTGGCTCCAGCTCTCAGCTGTCAATCAAGACAATGGGTAAATCCAGACAATATTATCGGGATCCTTCCCGAGACTGGTACTGCTCTGCCCTGTCAGCTGTCAGAAAGCTGGGAAAACCTCAACAATATTGTCGGGAGTCTTTGTGAGCTTGGCACGTCTCGGCCCCATCAGTGAGCATTAGGCCTCCATCAGCTGACTCTGAGTCACAGGAGGACAAAAGAAAATGTAAATGTATGCCTGTGACCCACTAGAGAAATATAGCCAAAAAAATCTTAGGCCATACTTCTTTTTTACACTGGCCATACATTGATGAAGAGTCAGACAGTTTAGCAGGGACTGGCTGAATTTAAAGTGTTACTAAACCCACAACAGTAAAATCAGTCTGTATATGCAGTAAATCATGCTTGTTATACTCACTGTGGAACCTAAGGCGTTAATCTTCTCTGCCTCTCCTCTTGTTGAAATGACCACCTGATACAGACTGAATCTGTAGGTATATGCACATGCTCAGTTTGGTGTGTATTCCTAGAGAGTTTTTTTTTTCTTGGGAGAGTGCATATGATCAGCACAGGGCCAATCAGCACTGTCCAGACAGAGGGTCAATGGTTTCATATCCTCTTAGAGCAGAAAGAAAACTCCTCCTACAAGCTTTAACCAGTGCTCTGCTGAAGTCACAAGACTTCTCTAACTGCTGATGAGAAAAGGTATTTAGCAGTTTATATTTACTAAAATAATTGCATTTCCATGCTGTGTGTACTGTGGGAGACCAGATATAGTGAATGCAGGGTCCTGGGTTTAGTAACACTTTAAATCAGTGTGTGGCCATCGACAGAAGTACCGTAAATTATTTTGTCAACATCTGTTGAATGACATATTGGAAAACTTTCCATCAATCAATGGTTGCAGCTATATGTGTAATCTGACCTCCTGGTAGGGGAGGGAGGAATTCCTCCACTTGGTTTGTGTGATTGGAGGAATCTGTTTTTTTTTTTTTTGTTCAGTTTGTT